TCAGGATGATACGTTGTACTTTGACAAGCCAGATACGGAGTTTGAGGACCCATGATTTCGAATACACTATGACTTCCTCTCAACCAAGATCATTTCCCCCTCATCTCACCGAGGCAACATCGCTTCACAGAGATTAGATAAAGTTGAATGCACTGACGCTGACTTGACGGTCACTTGAGTTTCGAGGGTAGGCCAGGTACACGTCTAAACCATTGCGGGCATTTGTTTCGATGCGATTTGTCGGTTGCCACCCTGCCGCCATCGTTGAATGCCACTAATCAACTTGGCAGCCTACAGCGCCCGTATGGTTGGTCCATATTGATGAGAGACTCAGACTGATGATGGAAATGCTCAGAATAATCCCACGTCCCCTTCCAGGGGAAATCAACTAGACACAAAGAGTGAGGCTTGTGTGGCGACTTCTAGTGCCCCTGTACCGCATTTTCGGCCTCAATCTCCAGTACCTTGCGCCGCAACCCTCTAGTCCGGACACCCACGAATCCAACCAGCAAAATACCGACCGCAAAGCCAGCAGACAAGAGTATGACGTTGACGGGCACCGGATCCCCTTGGAAAGTCTGGTGAAACAGATAGTCCAGGCCCGACTGGGAGAAATTCAGTAAACCAGAGAGGCAGATGATGGTGCCATAGACGGTGCCGAAGGTTCGGAAGCCAAAGACCTTGGCGCTGTAGTCGGATACGGCCGTGTAGTAAAATGGGCGGTATAGTACAAAGAGGCAGATGCCGGTGTAGGCAGCCCACGTGTAAGGTAGGATGCCCAGGACCCCAATGGCAGTTGCAATGGTGACGAGGACGGCGAGGACGATGAAGGTACTTGTATGATCAAGGAATAGACCGATGAAGGGGATCGAGAAGATTCGCCACGGGCAAGGCGACATCTAGAAGTTGTTCACTTCCATGGCTTGCTCGACATTGCCGAAGATGGTTCGTACTGAGCTCGGATCGTGGCGACAAAGTAGTTGATGCGCGTCATCTGAATGACAGTGAAGAGACAGATGAGGACGAACCAGGGCGATGCAATCTGTTGCAAAGATGTGTTGGCGTGCATGACGCCCCAGACTCCAGATATGGAATTCTTCTTCTCCTCGCGCCGGGCCTGTTCATCCGCGCCCTGGGGACCGATCAACTCCTGAGTGTCGTCCAGAACGGTCTGGCGGTGAGAGCGCTGTTCCTCGCGGAGGAGAGCAGTGTTCTCGTCGATCTGGTCATCCAAAGTGTCATCTCTTTCAATGGCAGCTTCCATCTGGTCTGCCTGCTCAGCAAGATCACCCATTGTCTTATAAGACTGTTTGGGCATCAGGGTCATTTGTACGACCAGTATGAAAGCGGGTACGACGAGGTAGGCGAGGAAGAATTGGCGGTAGCCAAAGGACCCGTCGGTAGCCTGGAAAATGAGGCGGTAGGCAAGGAACAGGGCGCTGGATGAGTCGAAGGCGCCCGTCAGCAGGGCGAGGATAAGGCCAGAGTGGCGTGGAAATGCGTTGGAGAGCTGGAAGGATGAGATGAAGGTGAAGGGCCCTCCAAGTGCGAGGAGCAGATAGCCCAACAGAAATCCGTCAAATGAGACCTCGTCGGCATAGGCCATGAGGAGAGAGCCAGATGCGAGGAAGATGCTACCAGCAATACCGCACACGCGCGGACCGTAGTGGTCGAGAATGGCGCCCACAGGCAGCGCCGCTACATTAGTAGCAACGGCAGCTACAGTGAACATGAGGTTCAAATGTATCTCAACACAAGTGTCTCCGTGCGTTGGACCAGGCTCATCGCCGTAGCAAACATCTCGGTAGGCACCCTCTGCTTTCAGCACCGGTTTCAGTGCGGCATATCCAAAGACAACGCCGGCTGCGAAGAGGCAGTAGACTACAGTAACAGCGATCTGTACTACATGACGATATCGGAAATCAGTAAAAGGGAAAACATAGAAGCATAGCGACACTTACGGATCCGTTTCCATTGCGGCACCTCAAAGCCAGACACAGCTTGTACGACATCGGACTTGGAGGCCGGAGGATCCCATTCGTCTGGCAGCGGATTGAAACTCAGCTTCCTTGCACGTATACTGGAGGCATCACTACCGCGTCGTGAACCTGGGGCATGGGGCAAAATCTGGAAGGTTTCGAGAGACCCCACACGATGGAGCGACATCTTGAGGGAAGTCGCACAGTCGTGTTTTGAACCGAGTGCAGGCGAGGATGGTGAAAGATAAGGAATCGGAGGATCTGACGTTTGTTGATATAGTTGTGGTGTGCCGAAGCGACGGTCAACCCAATGTTCTGTTTCAATCGCAGCGAGATGCGCTCAGACTTGTGCAGCAGACCCCTTTGAACCCCAATCGCCGATTCCAAACACACGAATTGTAGACGAGAGGGATAGACCGAAGTGGAAAGGAAAGAGGTAGAGAAAGATACAGCCAACGGTGATGGCGTCACTACTACGAAAGTCATGCACGAGACCTGCTTATCTTTCGAGGTACCGTCAATGCCGCACTCCCCACTCCACCGCCCCCCCTCTCTCATGGGCAGCATCAGCCACCAAGATAAGGCAAATTGAACGTCATCGCATTGCACATCGGAATTATATAGGTCGGCCAAAGCAGTAAAGTACATACACGGACGAAGCATCATCTGTTCCGATGCCATACACAGCACATAAGCGCCACAAGGGAGTCGGTGTCCACCAATGCACCCTGTCGCGGCCAGCCATAGAGCAAAGCAGCGCAAGCGCGCAAGCCAAATGCACAAAGATCGAGGTAAGAAAAGCAGAATAAACAAAGGAAATTGTCTAGCAACAGACGTTTGACTATCCGGAAACGTCCTTGTCGTTTTTTTGCCTTCCCGAATAACCTTGGTCTGTTTTCTCTGTCTCCGATCCGATGTCTTCCGCTACGTCAACCCGTCGTCTCTCCAACCTAACATTTCCAATTCACGAAACATATGCACAGCCAGATCCGAATGAGGTGAAGTAAAAATGCGCGAGACCAAACGATTGGGCTGTTGCCAGTCAAGTTCGCCCTGGTGCCAGTCCCGTGCGCTCCGGAGTCCAGGGTATCGTCCAAAGGTATCAACAGTTCACGCCTCCCAAGGCCACGCAAGACGATCCCAAGTCGCTGACACCATCGTCGCCGCTTAATTCTTGTAGAAGCGGATGATGGCCTCGCCCTTGGTGCCAGCCAGTGTTGTCTGTCAATGGTTAGCTTGACATGTCCTACACAGAATCAAGACACGATCACTTACGGTGCAGCCGGTGGAACCGCCACCAGTGTACTGGCCGTCGATGAGAGCGCACTTTGTGTTGACATCACCAATAATCTCAATGTTGAAGTCAAGCTGAGCCGTGCTGGTAGGCAAGTTAGGGAAGATGGAGATGTACGTGTTGCCGTCGGCGGCCTTGCCGGTACCGATGTTGATGGGGGCCCAGTTGCCGGCACCCTTGGGATCGACGGGGCTGTTCCAGGTGCAGGCGTCCTCAACGGGCAGGCCCTTCTTGTTGACGTAGTACTGGGCAGTGGTGGGCAGGTTGTTCCAGACGTAGTAATCGTTGGCCGAGGGGTTGGTCAGGGCAACCTTCTCGCCGGGCTGGGGAATGGTCGGGATGACCATGGACTCGGTGCCAGGGTAGTCGGTGCGGCAGACGCACGAGGTCTCGTCAAGATCGTTCTGGATCCAGACACCGCCGGCACCCTTTTCGCAAAGAGTCTCGTACTCAGGGCGGCTGAGCTCAAGATAACCGTCTGCGTTGCAGTAGAGGCCGCCAATAGACTGAAGCGTGTCGCCCTGAGCCGAAGGCCACTGGGTCTTCTGGTACCCAACGGGGCAGGCGTACGAGCAGAAGGAGCCAGGGCTGCAGCCCTCCTTGACGGCCGTCTCGATGTAGCTGATGGAGGCATCGCCGACCGAGTACTTGGGCACCTTTTGGACGCCGATCCAACCCTCGGTGCCCAGGTAATCGACGGCGAGCGCGCCGTAGTCGGAGGGGAAGTGGGAGCACTTGACCTTGCCGCTGTCGAACTTGGAGTTGATGCCCTGGCCGCCCGAGCTGCTGCTGCCCTTGTCGACCTTGACGGCGGTGGTGGTGGGAGGCGGGGCGACCGAGCTCGTGGTAGGCGTGGGCTCGGGGGTCGTCTCGGGCAGTGGCGTCGAGGTGGACAGCTCCTTGGACTCGAAAAACTGAGCCGCCATGACAGGCGTCGGGGTGGGAACCTCGGAAGTGGACGGGGGAGGGGGAGGCGGCGGCGGGGTGTACTCGGGCTTGCTCTCGCCGACGACGACATAGAGACCGTCCTCGATGCCCTCCTTGGCCTTTTCGGCCGCAACGTGCTCTCCAGCGAGCTCGTACAGGGTCACTGTCGGGCCCACCTCGTAGACGGTGACGGCATCAAGCTCACGCTTCTCGACAGGCGACGCGACGTGCTTCTTGTGAAGCTGCTGATGCTGGTGATGATGCTGAGGCTGAGCAGCGACAGTGGCGGCAAGCGTGGCCGCGAGGGTGAGGTGCACGATGGACTTCATGATGACTGGCGGTCGTCTGTCCTTGGAGTCTCGCCTGGATACGTAGTTTTGTATGTGAGTTGTCAGGGCGGTGATGAGTGCCGTTTAAGTTTGCTGCTTGATTCGATAGAATAACGAGTGAATGTGCGCCGGCCCTGGTTTCAAAAGAATGTAATGGAGAGCGAACTCTCGAGTTGGAAGCGACGGAGGGCAGATGGGGGCGCAACGAACGGAAACGATTGAGGGCTTCGTTGGGAAAAAGGAGTGAAAGAGAAGGAAGCAGGGTAGAGACCGGGTGGAGGGATCAGGTGAGAAAACATGGATCGCGACGAGGGAAGGACAGGCTAATCGCCCCTTGCGCCCCGAATCCAGCCAGGCAGGAGGCAGACGGGCGAGCAAGGCTCCCCCTTCACCCCCCGAGCTGCCATGGCACATCCCTGACCATGACCTTGAAGGGGGCTGGCCCGTGCCATTGCAATCGCCATAGACTCTTACCAGGCTGGGCCAGGAGAACCATCGACTCACCGACGAGGGAGATTGAGCTGCTTTCCCGGCGTCTTGGAGGCCGCGGCCACTGAGCCATCTCCACCCCACCTGCTCACTCCGCCTGCCCGCTGCTGCAGGTACGCCGGCGACGCGCTTGGTCCATCCCCCCCTTCCACCCCCTTGTCAACGTTGCGCTATCATCCAACTTCAATCTTGAAATGGCGAGCCGCGAACCTCGATACCACAGTCGCTCGCAACCCTCCTGCTCTACCTCATCTTCCGTCGCGTAGCGAGTCTGCGCGTCCCCACCATTGTCGTTCGAAGATGCCGTCGGCGTCTCTTTCGAAGGCCCCCCCCCCTTCCTCCCCATCTTCTCTTATCTTCCTCACTGGGGTCCCGACGAGTGTGTCGGGCCCCTGGCTTTTCCCCCGACAGTTGAAACAAACTGGACCTGAAATGGCGTATTTTCCCGGTGGAGATCGGTGCACGGCCCCATCATTGGACCTCGCGTTCGCGTTTCTGTAGCTGCGCCAACATTCATTATCCAATCATGCTGCCGCCTGTGCTCGCCAAGCCCCGAGATTCCCCAATCACTCTGCTGCGCTTGCGCCCCGCTATTGACACTGCAAAGAGGTGTCCAGATGAAAGGGGATTGTGACATCCCGGATGGATCGTCTTAACAGCGCATAAACAGACGACGCCGACGCCGCCTGCAGTGACAAGACCATTTCGCTTCTCGCCGTCACCTAATCTACAGATAGCTTCAGGTTCGCTTGGTCTTGCGGATGCGCACGATGTTTGAAAAAAGAAGGCTCGGTTGGGCTTCATGCCAAGGAATACATCATGAGAGTCGGCGCGCGTGACGGGCTCATTACTATGAGGCCCTTCTTCATTACCATTCCAACACAACATTCCTTTTCTACAGCACACCAAAACAAATCAACACATTGTCGGCGTAGCCCGTGTCGCAGACGCAGATGCACCTGGTCTGTTTGCCGCTTTGTTCTCGCGCCACGACAGTCTCGGTTACTTCACCATCCCAAGACGGCACTCATCGTGATGAAAGACCTTTTTCGGACAAATTTACGCTAATGACCACATGCCAACCTAAACAACCAAGTAAATAAGCCGCCATCTTGACCGAACTCGCTGCAAATCAACGCTCCATCCATGATCACCATCCATAGCCTTAAGTTATCAAACCCCGAAACGCCTTGCTGGGGAGGGGTCTGCCAGTCGCCCACGCCATGAACGACGAGTGACCTGTGTGTGGTGTACGGGTCCACACAACGCCTGCCTGCCCGTGCTGGTGCTGGTGCAATTGTCTCGCCTATCCTCATCTTATTCGCTGACCCTTGGCTGAAGTCGCCGCTCAGTCCTCGTCTTCGTTTTCACTGGCCGTCGCCGTATCTTCGTCAACATCCGTATCCGGCTCGTCGTCCTCGTCTTCTTCATCGCTGCTGTCGTTCTCCGCCGTCATGTTGAGCCCAGGCACAGCCTCGTACTGCACGTAATCGCCATGGACCCAACGTTTACTGACGGGCAGTTGGTAGGGATCGAAAGGGAAGTATGGGTCCAGTTGGTGGGCCTCTTCCCCTTGCGCACCGCCCGTGTCTCGCAACGCACCTCCGTTGCCGTATGTATCAGAAACAAACTGCGAGAGTCGGAGGCGTTGGTTCTCCGCGAGGCGGGGGGAATATGTACATGAGTCCCAGCTTGTGCGCGAGGGTGGCAAACTCGTCCACTATAGCAGGCGAGCAGATCTTGAGAGGGTTCATCCGGCAGTATACGTGGCTCGCAAGCTCTTCCTTCAGGCCGTGGATCCACTCAAGCTCGTGGCCTAGATAAGACGATGCATCTTCCGGATCGACGTGTTCTGGAACTGAAACGACCAAATCCTTCCAACGGAAGCAGTATACGTACAATATGGCCTGTGCCATCGAGTAGTATATTTGGTGTCGCTTCATATCAGGCCCTCGTGACTGCGCATCGTGCCTCAACCTGTACGACTTCATTCGTGCCAGTAAGAGATTGAAGATGGTCCGAACCAAGTCTCCCGGTACGTGAGCTCCCCTTGCCACAAACCCAGCAAGATATGTGGCTGCGGCTTGTCGTACGAAAGCTGGTCGGTTCTGTTCGGTGAAGATGTGCATCAATGATCCCACAAATGTG